GGAGTGGATCCCGTCGTCGGGCTGACTGCCGTCCCAGTAGTGGTAGTCGTAGGAGGAGCCGTCCGTCCACTCGAAGTGACCCTCCTGGCGCGGGGCAGAGGCCGCGATGGCAGAGCCGTGTTGGCGGGGGGGGGGTCCCGCTCTCGTCCCCATCCCCATCCCCGGTGCCACCCAGCCCGGGGACACGGGGACAGACTGTCACCGCTCAGCAAAGGCCAAACAGCTCGTTTGGGTTTTACGACCGAAAACCTACCCGGGAAAGCCCCAGCGTTCGCTGCGTTCTCACCAGGGGAAGCCCAGAAATTAAACCCGTATATTTTTTAATGCACCCAACGCAATTCTGCGTTCCTTTTCCTTTGCCTTTTCCATTCCTTTCCCAGTATCTACAAAAAAATTGCTGGCATGGGACTGTTCTCCTGACGGTCTCGATTTTTGTTACGTATTAGACTATATATTTCCAACATGTCAGCTTTGAAAAGTTGTGGAGTATCACAAGAAAGCAATGAAACTAGGGGATTTTTTGACATTGGACATGTTTTCAGTTTATTTCCTCTTCTTGGACCAGCAGTACAATACTCTTTCTATTAATCCATCAATAAAATATGATGTGAATAACTAGTAATTATTAATCTATTAATTCCAGTAACACTTTTCTTTTAAAAGCAGACTGGGGGGGGGGATGAAATTACAACCTTCCCCCACGCGCCGCACGACAGACCCTACGCTGCCACCTGATTAATGAGGCTCTAAGGAGCGAAGAAGAAAACCCAAGTGGCTTTCCAGGGGGAAAACGCAGGGAAGTGAATTTTTCAAAGCCATTTCCCGCAGGATTACAGGCAGCTCTCACCTGCCGCAGGTCGTTGAGCCCCGTCCAGATGTCGGTGGGGATGCCGGGCACGCGGCTGTTCACCAGGTCGTACACGAAGACGTTTTCTTCCCAGCTGGCAAAACAGAGCAAGACGGAGCTGCTGGGGCGTCTGGCGGACAAACGGTGGGGCAGGTCCCTCAGCATTTGCCCCACGGCACGGCCAAACGGGTCCCCCTCGTCTGATGGCTGGGGATTCCTTTCCCAGGGCTGTGCAAGAGGTGCGTAGTGTGGGGGAGAGCTGGGGGAGAGGGAGCGGGGGGAAAAGCCTGTGCAATCATCTGGTATTTCTAGCCCTTTTCCAAGAGTAAAGAATGCAGTTTTGGGGAATTGAGGGAATACTACCTCAGTTTTCCTGCCAGGCCAGGAAAAGGCGTTTCTTACATCGCCTTTGTGTGCGCAGTGCATCAGACATGACCCGCGGAGGGATGCTTAGGCTGGGACACGAGCCTGCAGCTGGCACAGAGGTTGGGCTGTGGTGAACGGGATTTCGTCCCCATTTTCCTTCTTCCCCAGGCCATGCCAGGGTGGGATGACGTGTTTCCGTGCCCCTCACCTGTGGATGGAGGCCAGCTTGGCTGATCTGATGCCAATGGAGAACTCGGCGCAATAGAGATCGGCTTCGGCCCAGGTTTTG